AGTTGGGAGAATACGCCGCGTGAGTTATATAGATGATCAGGCTAGTACTCATAAAATGAGTTTTGGTGCACACAAAGTTAACCAGCATCGCATGTCTTGTTAGGCCGTCGTTGACTCAAATTTTGTAAGTAGGATTGCTAAACCCGGATGAGCAATCCAAAGTTACGTCATGTGAAAGCCAAACCAGACATCTGAGTCTGGAGCGGAACTCACGAGAGAGCTCTGCCGCATGACATGTGTCGTCAAATTCCTAATTCAAAATTGAGAAAATATTATGCTGTTTTACATGAGTAACGCGATATTAATTTCGGAATTGCACCGCTTTGGGAATAGTTGTGGACAGCTAATACCGCGATATTAATTTCGGTAAGCAAAAAGTATCCTTCGTATGGAACGAAAGTAATGTTGTTCTCAGGATTTTTTTAGAGGCCACCGCTTTGGGAATAGTTGTGGACAGCTNTACGGAATTGCACCGCTTTGGGAATAGTTGTGGACAGCTGCCCTACATGGTGACGTACCTAAGCAAGGCTCAAAAGAAGAAATATGGACAGGAGAGCGTTTATGATTAACTGGGTAGCACTGATCAAAGTTTATTTCTGTCATATGCGGCCCATGGTGATAGATTCTTTGAAGCTGTCCGAGCCGAAATTTCATCTCTAGCGTACCTTACATTTTTCGTCATCCCGTGTAGCAAGTCTCCTTTTACCCCATTAGCTATATAAGCTGAAACACCCGGCCTCTTATTGCGACTTCGATCAAAAATGAACAAGCGCGGCTGCATCACGGTTGGAAATTACGGAGTCTGTCAATGGCCACAAATTTCAGGAAAAAATCCCATATATCGTTTAGAATTTCTTCGTTCGACACAAGAATCAATGTGTATGCTTGGTTTCATCTCCGTCGTCAATCTTCTCTCGATTTTCTCTCGCTAATTAGCATCGCCTGAATCTAGTGATTTAAATTCACTTTCACCATTTTATTGTGCACTGTGTCTGGGGATCTGAAATCTGGTATCATTTGCGGAACAAATTTTGTACAAATAGATTTGGATCATCGTTTCTTCACAAAACAATGGTACCCCATCTCCCAAATGACCCTTCTCTCGATTTTCTCTCGCTAATTAGCATCGCCTGAGTCTAGTGATTTAAATTCACTCTCACCATTTTATTGTGCACTGTGTCTGGGGATCTGAAATCTGGTATCATTTGCGGAACAAATTTTGTACAAATAGATTTGGATCATCGTTTCTTCACAAAACAATGGTAACCCCATCTCCAAATGACCTACTGTCGCCATGGATGTTCACATTCAAACACGTTCGACGACACACACTATTACTTGGAGGGTCACTCACATCATACACTCCCCGGATTCCTGGACTGAGTACACAAACAGGAGGAAGCGTTGGCATTATCCATGGCGTTACTTCGCGGATCCGCATCACCTAACCAAACCCGTATGAGCTCTACGATGGCACAGTTGAGGCTGATGTGTTATCTGATCGTAAATAAATCAAACTTGTTTGTCACAAACCAAGTGAGTGGGGAATCTTCGAAAAACACACAAATTTGATACCAACTACTGCATCCTAAAACTGGCCTCTGATCAGAGCAAAATGTAACAAGTATCTCGGTTCAACCTGCAAATACTACCGTTCCATATCAGGCTTTCTAAAGGTTTGTCGTAACTCAGCAATACCCTATGTGGCTTAAAACATGGTTTGCGGCTGTGCAACCTACTCTGGTCTACCTATTCAAAGAATGCTTCATAGCCACGGTGTGATTAATCCCAATCCCCCACCACACACCTCCAAATGTCGAATATTAGTAAAAGGCTCACGCGGCCAATTAGCTTCATTTCTCCACTCACTATTATTAACAGTATAGTTTTCATGCGGATAACACGTTGGCGAATGGGCCACTGGAATGTTCGATGAAACTGCATTACTGTGGAAAATGAGTGCAGGCACACTCACGGCGTGATCCTGCACAGAAATTCCATCTATTTGGAAAAATTTTAGTGCATCTGTACACAAGCGGAGTACCCTTTAATAGGAAATATTTAACAATTACATCTGAGCGCGTGCCTAGTCGATATTGATGTGTCCTGTCTCGAGGTTTACATCCAAGTGCACAACACTACCCAGTGCAGCTCAGTTTGCTAGTAACGACTTTGCCGACAATGCATTGCTTGGCATCTTCCTCCTTGTCGCACACATGCATGTGGTTGTGCGGGGGAAAGATGTGATGTGTATGCATTACCACTGAAACTGAGCTGTGGAAGCAGAGGTAGGCTAGTTTGTCTACTTGATCGCATCTTGATAGCTTCGATTCCATCCAACAGTTTGTTGGATTTCCGTTATTCCGAATGCCAGTTAATATTCCGGCAACTGTCGCTGATTGAAGTGTTGGTAAATGTGCTTTCATCACTTACATGAGTTTTATTTCACATCATCCGTTTGCGGCAAGTCATTTCATTGCATGGATAGTTCACTTGACTAGATTGCGGAATTTTTCTGCGCAACAAGGCCACACCGCTTTGAATCAAACTACGCATAGTAGTCCAGCATGCAGACAACGTTTCGTCGATGCATTACGGGAGGTTGAGCTGGAAGTCATATGAAAGGTGACATACTGGGCATTCATGTGTGCACTGAACACTCAACGAATGCAGTTGCCCCAGCCGTAAAAGATAATCTTGGGTACATAATGAGAACGTCACAGTACCACATTCTGGAATCCTAAACCGTTTAACCTGATAAGGGATATTACACAGCTTAAGTGGCATTTGGTCCACAATATCCTAAAGTTCCAACTAGACTGCTGACGCACAAACTGAAACTGCGATTGCATAGATCATTCATTGGACGAGGCTGAGGCTTCATATTTGAAGAAGGTTCAGGATTGCTACTGGAAATACCCCACGCAAAGAAGTTTCTAATTTAATTTCTTCTCGTATATATATATATATATGTACTAATATGCTAAGACAGCATACAACTCATCACAATCATCTACATCCCAACTTGTCTCGAATGTCATCTGATTATTCTGCACGATCTGTCGTAATGTTCACGTGTAGCTGAGTAGGTAGTTTTGAAAAAACCAAAACAAATGACTAGCCAAATAACAAATGGATTATAAATTCCTTCCATTAAACTGTCGCTCACAGATCGTTCACTCTCATCGGTTGTACTACTGACGACCGCCTTCAAAGCCAGTTGGGAACCCTGATAATTGAAATGCACCCTGAATTCTTCATTGCAACCAACCTCAAAGCGGCCACGCTGAATATTCACTAAGCTGATTAGGTGTTCTAAAGCACACAAACCGGCACGATTGACTTTAAATTACAAGAGTAATTACTAAGACGGCCAGGAGAATGAATTCACTTTGCGATGTGGTGCGCATCAGCGAAAAGTGGCACCAATCTAGGAGGGCACGTGGAAAATTCATGCATCTGAGGTTGTCTCGTAGATACCGAAATCTGACTCCTAACGAATGCTTTTCTGATATGGGTTCTGGGTTAACTTTTGGCTTACATCATCATATTTGTCTAAGAACGTCTACTGCTGTGTATTCCACAAAGAATTTGGGGATGAGAATCAACTCACAAATCCGAGAAGTTCAAGCCATTTAAATAAATGGGGTTGAATGGGCTTGACATGTGGTTCAAGTAAACCGTACACCCTTCACACAACATTTATTCTACAGATTAGTTTTTGGTGGTTTGAAAATGCTGCCCCCGATTATATCCTGCTCATCATTTCAGTTTATGTATGGACTCATTGGCAGATGGCATGTTTGGAGAGCGGCTTACGTTCAGGTCCAATACGAGAAAGGCGGTATAGAGGCAAATCGGTTCATGACCTTGCCCAACATGACAAGCGTCTGCACACAAGCCTTCCAACTGCGGCTGCTACATTCACAGCACAAAATTTCTGATACATAACAGCTGGAACATGCGGCGTGCACATGTAACAGTTCCGACTCAGGGTAGTGTCTAATCTAATAATGTCAATGATTGTGGACTATGGGGAATGAAGTGGTGCTTGTGGGATCGGGACAAATCACCATTTTGCAGCTTTCCTTCGACAATCATCAGTCTTTCAAATAGACTGGAATGAGTTTACATGACGTGTGAACCAAGTGCAGTCCTTTGAACATCTGTCCCATTTACCTGTTAGTCAATAAAACCGGTCCGTTATTTAAATGGCTGTGCAACCCCACGTAAACCAGTCAAAACGAATTAGTTTGCTACATTGTCTCACTGTGAATGCTCATGCACGTGATCATAACATGCTTGAAAGACCAGACTTCAAGCCCCCTGGAGAATTCTCAACTTCCAAGTCTTTCGTGATTCCTGTGCTGTTTTTAGGTGCTAATATTCTGCGAAAAACCACCGAAATTCCACTCATCCGCATTGCTTTACAGCCATAATACCTCCTATCCATCTATCTCCACATCACAACCACATACAGGGGTCTGTAATTTGCCAGTTGAGTGACCTCCGTTTTAGGTAATGGATCTACAAAATGTAATGCAACCTAAACTACGTATCACACGTTTTTGTCTGAACAATCGTAGGTCATACAGTTTTAAACCAATACTGTAAAGAGAAGGACAGTGAAAGCATTTTTCTTAACCAATGTGACTCTCGCTATACTGGTGTACGAAGCACACTGGTGAGCGAGACCAAAGCAATAGGTATTTGGACGCTAGTTATCAAGCCAGTGGAAACACGCAATCAGGATTTGGATACTTTGGTTTATGCTAAGGTCACGCAACGACCTCGTCTAAAGGACCAAATAGTCTTTGATCTCTTGTGATCACACACATTGATATTAGGTTTCCGATAAACAGCGATTAAGTGGAAGGATTTTGGGGCATTAATTTAGCACAAGAATTGGGAAAATATGCACACAAAGATAACCAAATAAACAGTTGCGATAAAGTCATCCGCATCGCAAGTCTTGTTAGTTCGTCGTCGATGCAAAAGTTTTAATTAGGACTGTATGCTCCGTGGAGTTGAGAACACTTTTGCTGTGTCACAACTCTAAATGTCGCTAACTGACCGATGGTTGGGTCGATGTCTGGATGCAAGAAGATTCCAAATCCAACAACAGCACCCGTTTCATTCAACTGCGGCAGCGTGGAATTTTGTGTGGTGGGGAGATTTACGATGCTGATGATCGGTCGCGTGAGATTCAATGGTGTGGATAATTTGAAAAGGGCGATATCATATGCGTCTGTGTGAGATGAAAATGTAATGCGAATTGATGCACACAAGCAGAATGAGTGAAGCAACAAAACAACGTGCACCAGATCTAGTGCCCGAGGTGTAAACCTGCGTGATATTGATCAGAAGAAAATACAATCTTGCGTATCGATGATATATCGTAAACACATTGAGGCCTACTAGTCCCTGGACGAGCAATCCAAAGTTATGCAATGAGATCCAAACGGGACATCTGAGTCAGGAGCAGCACTCGCAAGAGAGCCCTGACGCATGACGTGTCTGATCAAATTTCTCATTCGAATGTGATGAAGCATGAATACCACGAGAGCCATTTCGGCAAACACAAATCACCATTTATATAAACAGAAGTAATGTTTATCTCCTGATGAATCAGACAATGCTGTCTTCCACGTGTCAAGCCTTAAATAATGACATCTAAATAAGAGGAAGGAGAAATTCCAACGGGAAAAATTACCGATGAGGTTTCAGCTGGGTTCCAGGTGAGTATCCCATCAAAACCAAAATAATGTGTAAACTAGTTTACTTCGCCAACACTGAGGAAGTTCACTTGCGTAAAGCAGTAGTGCACAGATTTATAAATTGAAAGTTCTCGCGACTGACTGGCTCGCGTTGTGACCAATTCTCATTCCCATTGCACCCCGCTAAAAGTCGAATATTATTACTAAATTACCATTAGTAAATGTTTCACGAGACCAATTCGCCCCATTTCTACACTCACCGTTATTAGTAGTATAGTTTTCGTGCGGATAACACGTTGGCGAATGCGACACTTGTATGTTCAGTGGAACTGCATTACTGTGGAAAATGAACAAAGGGAGTACAATTTTACTATGTCTTGTCCCCAGAAGACAGGCCAGATAACCCACATCCACTGCGTGTTTTTGCACAGAAATGTAGCGACGAAAGCGTTGGCGCCGTTTTGGGTAAGAGGAATCAACATCAATTGTAAACATTTCACAGAGCGTTGATTACAATTACACTGAGAACGATGTTCATTACATCATCATTCACCTTCACCTCTAAACCGCGTACATGTTTCACAGTTGTTATATGCCACACTGTCGCTCATTCATGATGTAACAAGACATGGGCGGATAACCACACACAGAGTGCAGCGGCTGGGGTAACTATGAACTTTTCCTGGGGAGATGTGAATGGGAATCTATGAACTGAAGGCAAAAACTTGGATGCGTGCGCCAATGAGTATGCAGTCTTGTATCAGCACTCGACACTGCGCCGTCAAGCGCCCACCAACCAGTGAGATAGGATTACTTAGATTATTTAATATGGTCTGCATTACGATGGTGGAAGTCCCGGGATCAGGTTTGTCCTCTGGGAGCTCAACAACCTTCAGCAAAATCCTCGGGAGCATTTCGACAACACAGGCCTCAGGCACAACGACTGAGACGTCCATGGTCATACCAATGAAAAATATGAAGGAAATAGGTAGGAGAGGGGACTACTTTAGAACAACTTATGATGCTGTGCATCAGTGAATAATCACGGGAAGGGACTATTTCTGAACAACGTATGATGCTGTGTATCAGTGAATAATCACGGGAATCAAGTATACGGTCAAACATACTCGCAAGGTGCAATCATGACTGAGGCTTACCGGTAGCACATAGGAATGAGTACAAGGTAAGCAGTAAGAGCATTAACCTTCAAGCATTAACCTACAAGGAGTTGGTTAGAAATAGAGACGATTAGCTCGGAATAGCACAACGATGAACGAGACCCTGCACACAACCAACTTACCGCAATATTCGATT